TTGGGACGGTACAGATAATCGTTTCTAAACCGTTCAGTTTTCAGTTGAGACACTTTTTATGTATTACGCATGCGTCTTATGGTTATTTTACGGTTTTCGCATCAGTTGGGACAAACCTATAGACAACATAACCTTTTTTCTGTGTGGTGTCAAATTCCAAGAACCAATTTTTTCAGAATACACCGACCACGGTTATATTTTCGTTTAGTGATGACCGATTCATCAATCTGTACAACGTGTCCGATTCCCCCTGAAAAGGAACATGCTTATGCATTATATAAATATATTAATAAACTCATAAAAATTACCTAAAATAAACTGATCATTTTCATTAATCAGTTTCCAACTAATAATATCTCGTATGTATCTATATTGCTGTACAACTCTTTCTTTGGTTTCTCCCAACATTTCTGCCATAGAAACTACCCTAAGTTGACATGTCCAGCACCAAAACAATAAAATTATGTTTCTCACGGAAATTTTCATGTTCTAAAAATATGTATTTTTAAATAGAGAATAGTCAGCTCTACATTTTTGGCAATAAAAAACTGTATTTAAATTGTTTGCTCCTTCTTTCTGCCGTGTCTTGCAAACTCTTCTGCAAGATCTTGTCTTGCATCGAAAATTTGATTTTAATAAATTTATCTCTTGTAAATATTTTACCAACTCAGCATCACTTTTATTTATTATGCGATTTATACCGTTAATACTGTTCACTTCCATAATTTATTTTATTATCAATTAAACAATACTTAAATGGTTCGAAACCAAATTCAAATTGACATTCATAAATACTAAATAAAATGTTCTAGAATAAAATAAATGAACATCTAAACTGTTAATACCAGACTACTTAATTTTTAAATATTGCGGGTAACGGCAGAAACAATCAAGGTAATCTTGGCAACACCGCTCATTATCTAAAAGGGAAATGTTAAATAATAAGTTGTAGGTTAAATTTAATGAAAGGCTTATTTTCCTATTTTTAAGAAGTATTTAATTAATAGTATATTATTTAACGAGCGGTTATGACCATTACCGCAAGTTGAATACTATACTTTATCTACGACTAAAACAATAAATACTAAGATACAAGTATCAAGAATTATATAATTGATTAGATGATAAAAACGTTTGAATCTTTGTAAAAGCTATTACCTTTGTCGCCAGATATTTCTCATGAGGAGCTTCATTTATGAAATTATTAAGTTGTTCTGGCATAAATGTTTTTGCCTTTTTAGCTATATGTTTCTCTGATTGACGTTTAAGAAACACACGTAATTTTGAATAATTCTCTATATTAATCCCATTATTTATGTTAAGTGTGTTTCTTACAAGGAGTAGAAAGTCCATTAAGAGACGATGCTTTATATTTATTGCTAAGTTCATTAAAATATGCCAAAAGTACATTTTCTGTAAACGAGTTACACCAATCTTGAAAATTTTAGTATACACCTTATACTTGTTTTTTGATTTTTCCGGTAATAAATTCTGTATTCCATTATTATCTCTCTTATTTCTGGAGGTATACATAATAACTTATCTTCACTATCTAAATTCATCTATTTTTAAAACTATTATTAGAAATTGATTTGAAAACATCAAAATTATCTTGTTATAATTTCAAATGACATTACTCCCCCTGTAATAATTGGGTGTTCTGCCTAGTGAGTGGCGTTGACAATTTAATAATTTTAAAATCTTTTAATTATTATTTATTCCTTTCCAGTTGTTAAAAAATCTTTCTAACATTTTACGCCAATAGAACATTTATCGACATTAAAATTTCCAAGAATTTATTGCGCACACTATTTATATACCGAATTATCGTAGGAGCTCAGCGTGAGTTATAATAACTCACTATTATAACTCACGCTATTTGTTTATTGATAATATTAATTTCTCAAAAGCACTTGAATAATTAATATATAAATTAATAGGAGTAGATAAAATATACAGTGTGGAAACCACTTATGGAATAAAATTCTTTATGTCATTATTTTAGAAAATTATAAAAAATGCCGAGACATGTCAACTTTTGAATTGAGTTGTGCGTTATGTAAACATAAATTTAAATGTACAGGGTGATTCACGCAAGTATGCCATAGTCGGTGTTGTTTTTTTTAATGAAACACCCTGTATATTTGCATACATACATTATTCAGTTTGTTGGAATCGGTTCATTAAGAGGATTTCAAAAATATGCAAATATACAGGGTGTTTCATTAAAAAAAAACAACACCGACTATGGCATACTTGCGTGAATCACCCTGTACATTTAAATTTATGTTTACATAACGTACAACTCAATTCAAAAGTTGACGTGTCTCGACATTTTTTACAATTTTCTAAAATAATGACATAAAGAATTTTATTCCATAAGTGGTTTCTACACTGTATAATTAATATATACTTTTTTTCGTATTTCCGCACCTAAAGTGAGTTAAAATCAATAATTAGTATTATATAAATCAAAAAAAAATTGAAATTGGCCAAATTTAGTGTGTCCAGTAAGTCGAATGCAACCTAAGTTACTTATTGAATCTATCCATTGCAGATTTATGAAATACGTTGCATTTAAAATTGATGGGACCTATCCGGAAAAGAATGCTGTTCTATTGGGTAAATTATCATCTCTAGAAGACAGGAGAATACTGCAGGACATTACTTTTATATATAAGCTATAATTTATTGGATTATCTAGACCTGCTATCCCAAATTAAATTTAGTGTACCACACTTCAATACAAGATATAAAACGGTATTTTACTTGCCCACACCTCGAACAAATATTTTGAATAATTCACATATCCATACCATTTGCAACAATTTTAATAGATATGCAGCTGAATTAAATTTGGACATAAACTTTGACTCTCGTACAAGCTTTAAACGTAACATCAATGAGTACTTAGACAATATTATTAAATAAGTATAGTTCCATTCTTTCCTTAGATTTTATAGTGTCAATTTAAATATGTGAAGCACAAAGCTTTTTAAGTATTTTAAGTTATTTTCTTTTAATTAGAAATAATTACAATGCAACCTCGATAATCCGAACCCACGCTAATCCGAACGCAAATCGTGATGCGAAATAGTCCGAAGGCCGCCTCTGCAATCCGAACGCTGAGAGGAAAAGACCTGCAGCGCGGCCCATATGTAGTTTGATAATGCATTTAAATGTACAAAAATCAATATACATACAAAGGTCTAAAAATGTGTAAGAGGTGTTTTATTGTATATTCGTTAATCCGAACAATTCGATAATCCGAACAAGGTCTGACAATTAGGTGTTCAGATTAAAGAGGTTGCACTGTATATGTATACATATATTTTTTTATTGTATGTGTCCTCTAATTGGGGTTTAACCTGTTCGGACAATAAAGTATTTTTAATACATAAACAGAAATTATTTTCTGGAATATTTTAGCACATGACGAGACTTCTCTGGAGGGTTCTAGTGAATATGCTTCTACCTCTACCATTCACAACCTTGGTCTACACCGGATGTGAGATTAGCAGGAAAAGTCAGTCTGACGTTGAAGGCGGATTTACACCCTAGTGCTTCTTTGATATCATCTGGATTACTTGCGAGCAGTACTGTTCCTGACTCTATCTGATCGTTCTTTTTTAAACGGTGCTTGTTGATTTGGAGCAACTCCCACATGGTCTCTCTTGTATTGTCAATAATTGTAGACCGTTATCAGTTGATCTTTTTTGACGTCATTGGATTTCATGCACTATGAACATACCATAAAAACAAGGCTGTCAAGATTTGATTTGGTTCCGAAATTATATTCTAAAGGTGAGTTCAGTTAGTCAGCAATTAGAATGGGACAGACGCATAGTTTTTAGGTTGTTTTTGGTAGAAATTTCGCTGGGATACAAGAAATTACTTTGAGTAACGCAGTGGTCAGTCACGAGGGTCATGGCGCTAGTAATGTTTTGAAGAGTTTTGACACGTTTGACAGCATGTTCATTGGTTGATAACAAATTTACTACAATCTGATCGAAGCATTACGCCCAGCCACTTCCATTCGTTTCGATATTTATAAAAGAAGGAGATGACGTCTACAATTTCAATTTTGAATAATTTTTTATTCATATACTTTGTACTTTTGATAAGTGTAAAGCGTCAGTATTGATTTGCAAGAATGACAAGTGATCATAATTATTTATAACCAATATTAATATTGTTTATTGTGTTTTGTGTTGGTGTATTAAGTGCTTACTTAGTTAATATGGAATGCTAACATACAATAAACTCAAAAGATATGAGGATGCACCAATAGAACAAGAAGCAAGTCTCATTTCCCGAACACCCTAATTTTATAATTATTTTAGGAAGCTTGGTACCTGAATACATTTTAAACTACAAATTTTATTTCACTTTTTGACATTAACATTCATCACAAACATCGTTAAAGAATGGTTTAATTTAATATACCGGTTCTTTTTTCTTTTTTTTTTTTTTTCAGATCTAGCCTCTATAAGTAAAAAATTAAAGAATCAGGTAAAAAATTAGAGAATAAGGTAAAAAAAATTAGAATCAGGTAAAAAATTAGAAGCCTTTGTTAACATTCTGACAGGAAGTTGGATTGTCTAATTATGCTATGGTCATGATCCTTCCTACTTGAGTATTTGACACGAGCAATTTGACAAATGACCAGTCAAATAATAATCACGTCAACTAACCAAAGAAAATTTGATCGGTCAATTGCCATCCCTATCTATAATATACCTCACTAGAGATAGGTCCGACGCTACTGACATCGAAAAGTTCACATTAATGCGTAATATTCTCAAAACTTGATGAAATTAAAGTTTTTGTTTTAATAATCGCCATACAGCCACCCATTAACAAATCATTTCGATACTGTCCACGTCAAAACTGGAAGTTCCCCGACATAACTCACATTATACTATAAAATCAACGCTAGTTGATAATTATTTAAAAAAAAGTGTGGTTATAGTTATCACAATTGGGCAAACCGGACTGACCTGAATTGAACCATCTTTGAAACAGACGTTTGTTAATCTCTCTCCAGTTTCTTTGGTTTTTTGAATTTATTCGACTAGTGCTCATCTGATGGTATGTTAGCCATCCAACGGTGGGCCGAGATAGACCATCGATACTTCCGTGTTACCATACACGGCTGATACGGTCGGATATAATTTCTTGTCTGGGAGACCTAATTGATGAGAAAAATACTGTTATACAGATTTAAGTAATTTATTTCAAAATTAAATAATGATTGATTGGCGAAACAACTTAACAGGGTGGCTAAATGTTAGAGCCACTTTACAGTTCCTATTAACCCTTAAGAGTACCACCATTTTCTGGCCCATAATGCAAAACAAAAAGCTTGCTGCCCGAAGGTATACATGAGTCTCATTTGCAGACCAATATAATAATCTGCATTAATAACTTCCTTGTCATTTGTATTAGAACAGATATACAGGGTGATTTTTTGAAAAGGATCCACCCTCGATAACTTCGTTTTCGTCTTGATTCAGGTAAAATGCAAAAACAGGTAAATTTTTATCCTTAGGGGGACACATTTTTAGATCACAACTAATTTTGTCGGATCAACCCCATGGCCCCACCAGCCCCCACCTCAAAACCCTTCAATAGCAAGGGGACCCCTCGTTAGAAAGGTTTTTGCATTTACCATAAGACCATGTAATAATTATTTCGTTTTGTATAAGGTGGTTCAAGAAAAAAGACAAATTGCAATAAATAGATTTACATTTCGCTTTAATTGGTTAATTTTAGGAATAAAAATCGTATTAATTGTTTACAAAACGAGAAGAAACGGATTAGAGTGAAAGGAAGCAAAATCACAACAAGTGCTCAAAATGAGCACCGTTATTCTCCATGCAGTAGTAAAGGCGGTTTTCAAATTCCTCTCTCACCCGTTGAAAGGTTTCTCTAGGGATTCTTCTGCATGCGTCAGTTATTCGTTGTCGCAACTCCACTAAATCTGCTGGTTGAGTTTTGAAGACAACAGATTTTAGGTGCCCCCAGAGGAAAAAAATCTGGTCCTGTCAAATCTGGTGACCGTGGAGGCCATTCTATTGCTCCCCGCCTGCCAATCCAATGATGCGGAAATCTCTGATTCAGCCAGTTTCGAACAATCACAGCGAAGTGAGGTGGGGCTCCATCTTGCTGAAAAAAAGCTAATTTTCTTCAAGTACAAGATTTCCATCTTGATCCCGCTGATTTTCAACTTCAACCGTTATCAAGGGATCTATGATGCAAATGTTTTTTTATTAGGTTTGGGTTTGCGTTTATCATTTCCGTCATAATTTCGCAAAACTGTAATCTCCTATCAGGATCATCGTCCACAAGCTCCTGAAGTATCTTCATTTTATAGGGATGGAATTTAAAAAGTTTTGTCAAATTGCGTACCGATGAATACGAAAGTCCAGTGGTCGTAGCAATCTGACGCAAAGAACTGGTTGGATCGAAAGTAAAGTTCCCAACCACTTCAATCTGAGCCATTTCATTAACTATTCTGTTACCTTCTCTCTTCATATTTTTCACCGATCCTGTTGCTTGAAACTTCCGCACAAGTTGCGTAACATATTTATGCTCCATTCGTTTATCTGGATGTCTCGCATTCAAAAATCTGGCAGTGGCGCGGGCACAATTCTGCTCCTCACCATAAATGAAAATAACTTCTACCCGCTCGGCAATAGTGTAAACCATTTTACAGGGAATAAATCAGTTGACATACCAACTGACTGCAAACTACTTGGATTAAATTTAATCCGTCAAAACGGCTTGTAAAGATGCGCAAAAAAATTGCAGATAAAAATGCATACAAAAAGAGCGATAGCGCGATATCACTCATCAACCGTCTTCAAAAACTGAAGCAAAAAATTTAAGTGAATTTACGACAGAAGATAAATTGTTGAATGAGGAAGGATTCCTTTTATTCTCAACGGTGGTCATTTTAAGAATCTATTATGATGTATGTAATTTAAGTCTATTTATTGCAATTTGTCTTTTTTCTTGAACCACCCTGTACAAACCGAAATAATTCTTACATGGTCGTATGGTAAATGCAAATGCAATAGAATGGCCTCCACGGTCACCAGATTTGACAGGACCAGATTTTTTTCCTCTGGGGGCACCTAAAATATGTTGTCTTCAAAACTCAACCAGCAGATTTAGTGGAGTTGCGACAACGAATAACTGACGCATGCAGAAGAATCCCTAGAGAAACCTTTCAATGGGTGAGAGAGGAATTTGAAAACCGCCTTTACTACTGCATGGAGAATAACGGTGCTCATTTTGAGCACTTGTTGTGATTTTGCTTCGGCCCCCCCTTGCTATTGAATATTTCTGAGGTGGGGGCTGGTGGGGCCATGGGGTTGATCCGACAAAATCAGTTGTGATATAAAAATGTGTCCCCCTAAGGATAAAAATTGACCTGATTTTGGATTTTACCTGAATTAAGACGAGAACAAAGTTATCGATGGTGGATCCTTTTCAAAAAATCACCCTGTATATCTTTCTTTATTTAGCAAAGGCTAATTTACAATGTTTACGATATAATTCTTATACTAAAATATACAATATAAAAGGCACATAAAAATAATCTCGTTATTACAAAACTTCTACAACTGACACACAACATAAAAATTAGATAATTAAAACCACATTTATTGATTTGCTTAAACACAACAACATTTGCTACTTATTCAATTAAGTTAGATATTTTTAATAAAAACGTTTTAAACGCTTTTAAAGAACAACATGTCTTGACACCATTTTTTTTTAGTTTTACACCCTTCAGACCTCCCGTGCTACACCCTAATCCGTCTATAGTCTGGCAGCACTGCAGCCTGCGGCTTATGGTACCACCATTTGAAGGTCCTACTACTTTCCCATTCACACCCTCATTCATTCTGAATGAATGAGTGACAGGGCCCATGGTGGAACCTCCCAGCGGTCACCCATCCACGACGTGACCGTAAAGATCACTGCTTAACTGTTGCGAGTACGTGGATGCACACTAAGCTCGCGGCTAGCCTCTCCGGCCCTTGACACCATTAGGCAGAGCATTACATTATTTCAGCTCCTTATGACATACTGAATTTTTGGTGGAATAGAAAGTGCTCTTGTTGTCTAATGTTAAGTGTTATGTATATTGTTAATAAATACAAATTTATTTACCAGATAAGTCGGTGTATTTTAAAAACAAAAACCAATAGCAAACACTCGAAGTGGTCTTTAACTGGTAGCCAGTTTAAGTTTCTTAACATATGTTGCAGGCCAATATGATTCGCATTGCTCTATTTTGTTGCTTTTGTATTCTATTTAAATCATTTTGATTTAGAAGATAGAGAACTGTTGAACAATATTTAAGATAGGGAAGAATTAAAGTATTATAAGTATCAAAAAGGTTATTCCATTCCTAAAGTGTGGTCATCTTATGAGAAAGGAAACACAAAATCCGTACCACACAATATTTTATTGAAATTAAAATAGGGCAACCAGTTTCAGCATATAAGCCATCATCAGGCCGTTACAAGGTTAAAATTAAATAAAAGAAGGAAACTCCTGAAGGAAAAATTATATCTAGGCATTATCCAACAATGAGTTTAGTACGTTAATAAAACTAAGTTGAAATGTTATGTGGTATTGAGTAAATACTTGCCATAACATTTAAAATTATAGTATGTTAGAGAAAATTAGTTTTATAATAATTAGTAAGATTTTCGGCTTAGGTCGTTTTACTCAAATAAAGTCTATGCAGTTAGCTCTTGGATAGTAAGTAACTCAATATAACTTGAGGTGGTTACCCTGTTAGCACAGAATTTTCTCATATTGCAGTGAAACATAATGCTAAACATATCAAATGCCTGAAATGAATCATTTTACTTACACGCAAGAAAAAATGTGAACTGCAAAGTTGCTTTTCGTTTTGAATAGACTGAGTCTAAAATAAATTTAAAAAATTGTCTGGAACAGCTTTGGAATAAATATGGGGAAACGTGCATTCCTTTTAAATGCAAAATAAAAATATTATATACCTAATTAAAAGAAAAGCATGGATTATAAAAAAAACATAATTTTTTCTCGTGCTTTTCAAAATTGTTTTGTTATTTTTGGCATATTAATACATATAAACTAAATTACCTCTAAATGCCACTCCTAAAAATTCATAATTCTTTTCAAATGACAATGTGTTGTCATCACAATCTAATATGACTCGTATCCTTTCTCCAACCTAAAAAAAAATATTACTGGTAGAGTATGTCTGAAAAAGTTGACCAACAAATGGACAATTTGTTTATTATTAATTTTACAAAAAAAAAAATATTCTTCAAAAAAAGTTCTGCATCACATAGACATCAAGAATCATATTTGTAAAATACTTATTGGTATACAGGTAAGGTTTCCATTCGTCCGGATTTACCCGGACATGTTTGGGTTTTTAAGGTGTCCAGGGGCAGTCCGGTCGGAATTTGATCAAGTGTCCGGGAAACAACAAAAAGTAGACAATTTATTTTCAGCAATGTATAGCCATTGAAAGTTTTTCAGGATTGCTAACAATATGTTAATTCATCTTTGCTATTACTGCACACAATGCAAATGTCAAGCAAATAGACAAATGATGGGAATAGTCTTACTCTTGAGTGTCTATAAAAGGTATAATAATGACCATATTTAATTTTGACATGACCTGTTCCGAATTTTATGACTATATTATGTTACCAAAAAATATTTTGCTCCTGAACGAAGTTTAGAAATCAGAGAAATATCATATAAAATAATTATTTTTACACAATAAATGATGCCAACTGAGTTTTTCCAAAGATCGAAGATCGTTTTTTTATCAGAGAATAGAGAATTGTGTTTTCTCATATCATTGTTATCATACCCTTTAATAATAGGCATTTATGTTTTTTTTGCTTTAAAATGTATTTTTGAATAATATGTATTTTTTAATAAAATAAACTATAACTCTTGACTGCTTTTAATTTATCCCCCCCCCCCCCCCCCATAAAGTACATAAATAAATACATTTATGACGTATTTATCGTCAAAGTTCGGATTTTGTCCAGATTTTGTCCAGATTTTGTCCAGATTTTGTCCAGATTTTGTCCAGATTTTGTCTTAATTTTGTCCTGATTTTTTCCGGATTTTTGGACTCACTTGCCCTAAATTTTAAAAAACCTTTATGGAAACCGTATATACAGGGAAAATCAAAAATATTTATGCTGAAAGAGTAAAGTGCTTCTAAAATTAATTTGGTACAGAACAAAATGTCATTTTTTGAAAATGTTAATTAAAAATAAGTATATATACAAAGGACCACTCACTCAGGGGTACCTCCAAAATGTCTGAATTTATCATGTGTTAAATTACTTGATGTCCCCATCCAAAGTGTTCATGGGCCCAATCATATCATATGACTAGATTTTGAGATTCATGTGCCGCGTTTGAAAATCCACATCCGATGCATTTTTTACATCTCGAGCGTTTGTTTATCCACATCGGACACATCTACTACATCTGAGTTTGTTTATCCGAGATGTACCTGTTCAGATTACATTTTTTACATTTCGATTTGAAATGAGATGTGAATGAGATGTTCGTTCCATGCCAGAAAGTAAGTGTTGTGTGAAGCCAAGTTTGTCAATTTATCTTTTGTTTATGCTAGCATGAATATAAAAGTGATTAGTTTGTTTAATTTTTGTTTAAATTTCAAATTTAGGTTGATTTGTAGTCTCAAAAGTCAAATTTAAAAAGTATAAACTTCTAACTTGTTACTGACATTTTATCATGTGACCAACAGTGGCGGTTTGCCCGTAAGGGCACTTGGGCACGTGCCCTAGTATAATAAACCAAAAAAAATAATAACTTACATATTTTATATTTTCATCAATGCCTATTATTATTTTATCTAATATTCAGCGCAAACCGCGTTGGCACGACACTGGACGACCACGCGTTGAGCGACGTACCGAGAATGCCAAAATTAAGTAGGCACAGGGCACAATAAATGTGTACCTCTGTTGTTTTATCTCTCATTATAACGCGAAAAACAAGGACAACGACAATATCGCTTAGCAAGAGATGAACAGATTCGGTGGATTATACGTCACAAGCGGGGCGCTGTCCTTATCGTAACTTGCTGTACTGATGGTTCGGTTTATTTGTTAACCTTCAATTGGCGCTACCGGGTGATTTTGCTTGTTGATATTTTGGAGCCGTAAATTTCGGTAATCCGTTTGATAAGTGTGATATATAATTGTTTTTTCATTATTATGAATTCTGCGGGAAATTCCGTACAAAATATTTTAAACGGTGCGTTATCGTTTAATGATATGTAACGAAATTTGTGATACAATAGTAGTGCAGGTAAATGAACGTTTTAGTTTTACTACCCACCTAACAATTGCAAGTTTATTTGATAGTGAAAAATTTAAAGACTTGTTGTTTTCCAAATGAGGACGTTAAAACTGTGTGTAGTTTATTTCCAAACGTAAACAGCTTAAAATTAAAAAACGAAGTATCCATACTTTACACTCGAGATTTTGTGCAATGGGGGCGTACCGTTATTACAAATGTTTTTGAGTACAATTTGACAATTACATTTTCGGAATCTGTGGAGCTGTTAACTATCCTGTGTACAATTCCCATGACCAAGTGGAGAGTGAAAGATGTTTTTCGACACTAAAACGTATTAAAACATTTTTAAGAAACACTAAAAACTTGTTCGGTCCATTCCAAATTTTATTAATCTGGTCATCGGTCACTTCGCTAGCCAAAAATCCTGAAGAATGGACTTCAACTATAAGAAATAGTATACAAGTGCAGCGGTACCTAGCAGTAAGTTTTTAATTTTGTAATATTTAATTTTTTTTAAAATATATTTAATTTTCATTAAGCGAAGAACTTGTTTTCCTAAGGGAAAAACGAATCCCGGGATTCATTTCCAGTGTGTGCCCCACTGCCGCTAGTGCCCACGAGCCGCCACTGGTGACCAATAAAGTCTAGAACGTTTGTTTATTACATCTACATTCAGATCTACTTCTCTATCACGTGATAAAAAATTCACATCTCAAGATGCATCCGATGTGGATATTCAAATGTGGCAATGGTGTTGAGGTTAGAAATCCCTAATTCTTTAAAATGGACACCAAAAATCACCCTTAAATATTTTTGGAGTTATTCCCTCATTATGTATAGTCAATATACATAATTAACTACTATAATCAAAATATTGTCACTTACAGGGTGATTCATGATTCTGCAGATCTTTTTCGGACAAAGTAGGTATTTCCACCAAACAAAAATAGATGAAATGACGTAAAAAAAAAATACCACCGTCAAAGTCTCTCAATATTTGATATTGTATAGTCCTCAATGTACTTGTTCGAAATCCTTATTCGTAAAATTGGATCCTATAACTAGTTTTCCAAATAAATCCTAACATATGAATTTTAAACAATAAATATGTACTGACATCAGTACATATGTTCAAGGGAAATATCGTATATTAATTATTTTGATAAACTGTGTTGGATTAGGAATGTAACACCTTGTACTATTTGGAGGCAGACAAAAAAATTTCTTTCTTACAGGGTGATCACAGTTGAATATAAAAAGATAAAAAATTAACAAGAAATGTTGAAATTGTTGTCAAAGAATAGAAACTAATTGCCTTGTAAGTTGCGAGTTGTTCATTAAATAATCTTATAAGTCCACATACAGGATCATACATTATTCCATTACAGAGTTGCAGGATATTAAAAATTATCTATATTTCCAAGTTCAAGTATATATGGTGTTATAATCGTTAAATACTTGACAAAACGACTTGCATGCCTTTGCATAATGACAATATAAAAACACAGGTCGATGATTCGAAAATTATTCAAAACATATTGTTATTAAGAAGTCCATGAAAAATCAAGAGAGAAACAGGTAAGTTGTAAACTATAAAAATATCAACAATGAGAGTTACTTAATATATGTTAAATATATGAACAATCAATAACATGAAAGGACTATTTCTTATATGAATGTGTAGCAATAAGTAGATATGACATTTATATTTTATCGCATACCTAACTAGTACTGAATGGATTTCATAGAAGAAAAGTCACAATGAACATAAAATAAAGAAGTAGAGAATTTCCCAGATTTATCTGGTCATTGACAACTTCATACTGAGGATCCATTAAATGCTTTTAATTTCTAATTATTCCAAAAACTGTCAGTTTGACAGAGTTTGTTATTACCTATTTAAAATATTAATGTATATTTATAAGTGTTTTCAATAAAGAACTCTTTTTAGCAATAATTTTATATGTTGTTAATTTTTTCACCTTGCAAGTTCAACTATGACCATCCTATAGGATGCGACTTAAAATACCTGGGTGGCGCAGAAAGGAGCTCACAATCTGATTTATATATACAATATAAAAAGGCACTTATAGCAATGCTCAACCCAAAAAAAACCTGTAATCTGATGACAATTAATTTCTCTAGATCTTAATTAGGCCTACTTTATACTGGACCTTTTTGTAATGGAATGATGTATGACCCTTGATAAGGACTTATATGATTTTTTTTAATGAACAACTCTAAAACTTTTAAGGCAATTAGTTTCTATTCTTTGGCTACAATTTCAACATTTCTTGTTGATTTTTTCTCCTTACATGTTCAACTGTAAGTACGAAATATTTTGTCTGCCTCCAAATAGTACAAGGCGGAACATTCCCAATCCAACACAGTGCATCAAAATATTAATATTAAGTTATATTTGGAAAACTAATCATAGGATCCAATTTTACCAATAAGAATTTCAGACGAGTACATCGAGAACTATACAATATCAAATATTGACAGACTTTGGATGACTTTTTTTGGGATTTCAGCTATTTTTGTTCAGTGGAAATACCTACTTTTACCGAAAGAGATCTGCAGAACAATGAATCACCCTGTAAGTGACAATATTTTAATTATGTTTATTAACTACACAAAATGAGCGAATAACTTTCCAAAATATTTTAGGGTGATTTTTGGTGTCCATTTTAAAGAATTAGAGATTTCCAAGTTCAATGCCCTGTATCACAAAATCTAGTCATATGATAGGATTGGGCCCATAGACACTTTTGATGGGGACACCAGTGATTTAACATATCAAAAATTCAGCCATTTTGAAGGTACTCCCGTTTGCATAATTAAGAAAAGTGCATGTTCCTTTAGATTTGTGGCCTTAATAATTAATTAATACAGGAGTTAAAGCATTTAAAGTAAAAAAAAAACTAAATAATAAATATTATTAGGCAGTACTTCATGAAAAATATTTTTTTTTGTAAAATTAATAATAAATAAATGTTGATAACTTTTTTAGATATACTGTATTAAATATTAAGTTTCATAAGACAGGTTTTATTGCCATTATCCATGGCTTCAGGCCATAGAGGTTAGGTAAAGGTAAAGTTTTTTAATTCAATTGAAAGTGTTTATTGTTTATTGAAAATAATTGATGGTAATTTGACAGTAAGTACAAATATAACATTTGTTTTAAAAATTGAATTAATCTTTTATTTCAAAACAGAAGTTAATGACAATTAGATAAAAATATGGATGCTTGAAAACATGAGTAAATAAAAATATAACTCATTTATGTAACATTAGAAATATTTAAACATTATTGAAAAAGATGTGAATCTCGAAGCATTATTTTATGTATATATAGTGTAGATTGGATTTAAAATTTTAAAATATTAGTAACTTATCTATAAATAATTGTCCATATTTATATTTTAATTATGGCACCTAGGTGAGGGACACCTGTATATACCATGAGAAGAAATATATTTTATTACTTCAATGGATAATTAAATTAAAGCTCTTTTTTATTTTATTCTATAAAGGGTTTATACAACTTGGTAAAATTTTGAGAAACTAATAATTTGCTTGAGTTGCTAAATTTTACAGGTTTCTGCATGAATTTGATAAGAATGAAAAGGGAATTGTAGCATTTCGGTCCTAAATAATTTGGACGGTTCTTAAATAACTCACTATTTGGATTAAGTTTTAAGCCTTTCAAGTTTTTCCTTCACGCCATAAACGTGAATTTGCATTTTCTATCTCTAACACCATACATGTGAATTCGCATAGTAAGACTTGATCATTCCAATGCACTGGCGATTGGCGGTAGTACACAGAAAGGGTTAATATATTTGAGAAATTTATAGGGCCATACCCATGATTTATTTGTTTTCTTAAATGCATGCATTTGAGTGTAACAGAATAATGGTGAGTACTTAAGTATAAATACCTAATGTTTTGGTTTTATCATATAATAGTGCTGTGGGGTTCACCTGGTCTTTTTTTGTTTATAATCCTAATAATTTTATTTGGAATGACTTGTAATTGCCTAAGTGTCATTTGAAATAGGCCACCCCATGCAATAATTCATATATTATTAAATGCATCTCAATTTATTCATAAATAAAATAGATAAATCATCTAACCTGATATTTAGGAGCATTATTAAGCATAGGATAGTTGCCCTGGGCATCTCCATTATGTAATAAATGATTATCTACTAAATTCCAACCCCAACTTTGATCATCTGAACCTAGAAGAGCAACATAGCCATGACATTGGAGAGGAGCGTCTTTAGTTGCTATTCCTATAACTGCAACAGTTCCTAAAGGGCCTTCCCATATCACTTCCCATGCATGTCTACCATGTCTAAATCCTATTTTTCCCCTAAGAAAAAACAAATATGTCAATTCACTGGCCTCTCATAACTAGAATCAAAGTAAACAGTGGACAGCTTAATGTTTATACAATATAAAGGTAGCACAAAAATTATGTTACAATACTTAGCCAAAATACAATTTTAAGCAACAACGTTAACATCTATTTTTTAACTAATGAAGGTTTACAAAGTTGTCTTTAATACATCTATAAACAATTCGGAGTACCTTGAGGCATCCGTACTTTGAGCTACAGGATTTCGATGCAGCGTAAAACCGTTTGGTTTGATATAAATATTCCTAGAACAATCATTTGGATTCCAAGCGTGGTGAAAGGCTCTTAATTTGGCTTTGTAGGTGGGGACAGAGCTCAGAAGATCTGATTTTAGAGCTTCTTCTGCTAGTTTTCTGACACAATGTAACCGCCACACGTCGTTATTTTCGTCGTTTAGGAAACTATACCACCTTTTGCATACGAGAGAGCAATTTCTTAAGTCGTGTAATGTTAGAAAGGAAAATATTACTTCGAGAACATTGTCTGGAACTAGTGTTGCGATTGCTGTGTCCATTTTTCTAGTTTGTTTGACAAGTCGATGTTGTTGACGTCTAGTATGACAGATCTAAACGTCAATGTCGTTTAGTTTTTATTTTGCTTTTAGGCCATTTTTCGAGAGTCGTTAAAACCATGATACAAAAATTACAGTATCATGCATTAAAAAACTATAAATTTTAATGAAAAATGAAATAGGATGCAGTTTGGAGACTAAATAAAATTCCTTGTCTCTAATCTTTACTATCACAGTATTTCGCAATTATTTAATAGCTTAATCAGGGTAAGGAGAATACTACAATAATGAACAATATTTTTCATTTCTAAGACCCTTATTTATTAATCTCAGCCAAGTCCGACTCAGCTAAGTCGTCTTTGACCGAAAGTAACCGAACTTCGATTTTAGTTCAAGGACGACTTACCCAAGTCCGACTCACGTAAGTTCTGTTTATAAATACGGGCCTAAGTCCGACCCCAGTATATATACCAATGTCCGACTCAGCTGAGATCAGGATAGCTATTCAAAAGGTCTTTTCCTTTGCATCGACAGTGTAGCACTGAGCTACGTCACTTCTGAAAATATTGTTCCATCCATACAATTTGTATAAATGGAACGATATTTTCAGAAGTTGTGTAGCTCAGTGCTACACTTTCGATGCAAAGGAAAAGACCTACTAAGTCATGGGAGCGCTTCCATGGGAGCTCCCAGTGCTCACATATATTTTGCTCTCTTACTCTTAGGTGGGTATATCGTGCTTACTCACTTTTAGCCCAGGTACATGCGTAGTAAGGTCAGATTTTATACCATGGGAGGGAGAATTGCGGGCTTGCCAGATTTTAGGTCCGTATTTATCACAAAGCAAATTTGAATTACTTAGGACAGATTCCACCGTTGTGTTAAACGGAGATTAAAATGACATTGTTAATGTAAAAATGTCATTTTAAACTTTGATTAACACAACGGTGGAATCGGTCCTTAAATAGTTGATCAAAGTTATTCTGTCGACTTGGCAACGTTGGCATGGGAGTATGGGAGTGCTCCCATGAGTTAGATAATAGGTATCCTGTTTATAAATACGGACTCACATATTTTGATTACTATACGGTGCAAGAGAGAGGTCCGACCACATACTTTGATTACTATACGGTGCAAGAGAGAGGTCCGACACGCCCAACATAGGGCACGGCCATTTTGATTCCTATGCCACAGTTTATAGCTAAAAAATCAGATCGCTCACTCTGCGTCAGCACTTTTGATCTCAATGTTCCAGTTTATACACTGCGTAACTCGAATAATACAATATATGACAACCGCCTATAATAAAACACCAGTCTTCTGCATATCCTGAATTTGTATCCCTGGAGTGGATGTTATTTTGGAACTTTCAACTGGTCCGAGTGAGCTAACTGATTCTTTGACAATAAATTGTGACTCCAAAAATAATATTCACTGACACTGACAGCAGCAAGCAAAATATCAGGTGCGTTTTAATCATCCGCTTCTGCTTCCGGAATTGTCGGTTTAGTCGTTTTAACCTGTCAGATTAAAACAAGAAAACTAAAAATTCCGAAGCAGAAGCGGATGATTAAAACGCACCTATTAAAAATATTGCGCCAAGATGTAGGCAACACGTAATAAGGGTTCAAAATGGCGGAGTTTTCTATCTCCTTTTAAAAGGCACTCAGAAAGCTGCGCAGTGCGACCATTCTCCGTATAGTAAAAGAAAATCAAAGTATGTGGCCGTATAGTAAAAAAAATCAAAGTATGTGATTCACTGACACTGACAGCAGCAAGCAAAATATCAGGTGCGTTTTAATAATCCGCTTCTGCTTCCGGAATTGTCGGTTTAGTCGTTTTAACCTGTCAGATTAAAACAAAGAAAACCGACAATTCCGAAGCAGAAGCGGATGATTAAAACGCACCTATTATAAATATTTTACTTCAAGATGTAGGCAACACGTAATAAGGCATCAAAATGGCGGAGTTTTCTATCTCCTTTTAAAAGGCACTCATAAAGCTGCGCAGTGCGACCATTCTCCGTATAGTAAAAGAAAATCAAAGTATGTGTACGGACTTAAGTAACGGCATCGTTCATTTATGTACGATGGTAACGGTAGATAACTAAATTTTTTTAACAAAGTAAAAACACAATCCGAATTTATTAATCGATTTTCTTTTTTCAATAAATATAAACAAAAACTATTTATCTCGCTTTATAAAGACTACAAAAGATAACTTAAAAAACACAAAAATATTTTAAAAAGTAGGAAGACCAATCGAAAACGAAGGAGATATTTCGAAATTGACCGTTGGGTTCATTGTTGAGCCAAAGAAAAAAACGTAATTGTGCGTTGTCTCGTCACTAAAATTGTATTTTTAGACTGCATAAATATAAAATAGCTATAATCGAAGAAAAACGGGACCAAATGGGGACAAGTGATTTCAAATCGTGACTGTCCCGACGACTTCCGCCAATCGGGACGGATGATCGCTTTACACAATGAGTTTTATCAAATTTCATTAATCCTAAAAACGGGTATATTCAAGTTAAACCGTAGGTACCTTATAGTGGTAAATAATTACATAAACGAATATATTAAAATTTAACAGTCGTTAAAAATATAACGTATGTTAAATATGAATAGCTACTATGTAAATTCATGTTAAATTTTAACGTGACACGTTAACATATTTTAAGTTCATTAGTACAGCAATAATCTATTCAATAGAAATGTGTAAAAAATTTAACATAAATAGGTCTTTTCCTTTGCATCGAAAGTGTAGCATTGATCTACACCACTTCTGAAAATATCGTTCCATTTATACAAATTGTATGGATGGAACGATATTTTCAGAAGTGGTGTAGCTCAATGCTACACTTTCAATGCAAAGGAAAAGACCTATTGTGTTAATTTTGAGTGTTAAATCGTGGAAATTAACGGGTACATATTAGAAGGCGTTAAAACTTAACAAATGAGAAATTATGACTTTTGATTGTTTTATTAAATTTATTTCTGAATACGTCGAATAGTTTAGGTCTTTATTTTCTGTACCGTTGTTCTGATAAGGATATCGGATAAAACGATCCACAGATTCAAACTTTGCAACATAGAGTCCTTATTTAAAATCATAATTAAATAGGGTTATATCTATTTATGAGGTTTGTTTGTAATGGTTCTTCGAAAATACCCAACTGTACCCAACCATGTGCCACAGCTTGTAAAAGTTACGTCACGACCATGGTTACGTCATACAACTTTTCTATTAAAATTGAGACGATGAGAAATGGCCTAGAACTAGAAACTGACTAATACGTAGTGACATCCAGTAGATAGTAGCGAAAGTGTCGAAATTCCCGTGCCGATCATATGGCGCCAAAGACAAATTTCTTTTGCCCTGGTGGCGAATCTTTCAAGTTGCGCCAGAGCATCCCACGTGAGATATGTGGACCAATAAAAGCGAAGGCTTTGTACCCGCCGCCAAGCTGATCTAAGGATGTATTTGCACGAAATAGCTCAACTTTGTCAAGCTTTGAAAGTGTCAAATTTTTAATAATCCCAAACATTTTTGAAAAATATGAAAGTGCAATAATCGGTCGATCAGAGGAACAAATCAAATTGAATTTCGGTGCCACGGGTTCTTAGTATCGGGCTTTTAAACTATGGTAGTATTCCGTCGCCATTTTGACTAGGTCGGTTCCGAGTTCTGATGGTTTGTTAGGATTTTTTGGTTATATCGGTGGGATTTGTTTATTTTTTTAAAACTTTTTGGTTTCGTATTGCTTCGGGGAGTGTTAAAATGACACAACAAACTAATACAACGAACTGGGTGATACAAGGATCCAATGGTAAATTTCGAAAATTTTACATGCATGTTCCCTCGATCTAGATAGGGTGTAATATTTATTTTCAAATTTTATCTAGTATGAATTATTAAAGACTTCACAATTAATTTTATTTGTTTCCACTATTTCAATTTATTATATTACGATTTATAAAATAAAGATTTTCGTTGAATATAGTATGTTTTTTCTCATTTGAAATAGGGCAGCCCCAAATGATAAAGTTGATGCAATCTTCCGGAAAAACTTTTAGTGGCATAATGACTTCTGCGATGACCGGGCAGCCGGTAAAAATTATTAAATCGTCACCAAGTTCAATATCTGATGAAACACAGCAGGTAAGTCGTTTTATTTTAGTCAGCATTTTCATTATTTTCAGTACATTATCATAGGTATTTTATGCGTTTCACTTATGTTTCATGTTTATATCGCTAAATATGCTTGGGATTTAAATGTATAAATTAAATTGATTTTCGTAACACGAGGAAGCACGTTTCTATGGTTAATTTAATCTGTGTTTTGTGGTGAAAAATTATACTTTTAATACGTAAGTGCAAATTAGGTATCAAGTAGGTATATAACTTAATTTATGTTAACTTCTTATGACGAGGTACCTGCATAACTTTATTGAAAAGGGTTAGGTTTCTTTATAGTCCAAGTACTTTTGCATGTTTGCCTAGTACCAACAAATACCTATAAGCCTATTATAACTGGTGTTTTTTAATTTATTTTTGTGTTATTTTCACATGTTTTATATAAAGATTGTCCTGTTGATTTTTTTGGGGTCTATTCTGTAACAATTCCTTTATATTTAAGGGCCTTTAAAAATATTGGCGGCCTTTAAAAATGTTTTCCTATTCGTTAATTTACTTCTGTCATTATTTAAACAGATTTATTTAAGATAGTCCTCTATCTAATGTATTTTAAAGATCCCTTTAAATAATGACAGAAGTAAAGAAGAAAATATTTTTAAAGGCTGTTAAATATAAAGGAATTGTTACAGAATAGACCCCTTTATATGCCAGAATTTCTACAAACGTTTGTTTAGTTTTTAATTGAGTACTTATTAGTTTAATCTAATGCATTATTTTACATTGACTTGTCATTTTAATTTGATATTTTAATCTTGGATATGATGACGTCAAATTAAAAATAGTTTATTATAAAAATATTGACCTTACAGAAAAAACAACTGTATATTATTTGATGATTAATGAAATAATGTTTATTACCTAATTAGTCAATCAATAACAAAACTTAGGTATACTGAGTATTACTTTAAAATAAATAGGTTATTACTGGCATTATTCTTAAGAATTTTAGGAATTAATACCACAAAAAAGATAATATATTTTCTAATATAAAAATTGTTTCCTACAAATATTTTAATTCATAAAAACTACAGGGAATGTTCAATAAGTATGTGCCGAGGTATGTGCCTTTATTTATGATGTGAACTATTAAAATATATACAAAGTATTATCAACATCTTTATCATACTGAATAGAATGTATTTAAAAAATATATAATATTCCGATAATAGGTAGCCGATCTGAGTTGCATGTACCGCAAGTCATCACTAAAAGTTCGCAAAATACCCTCAAAGAATTTATTTATTTATTCACAGGTAACCCCATTTAAAAAATACAATATTAAGTAGAATAATAGCAGCAAAATAAATACTGAACTAAATATTAAACTAATACTAATATATAGGTAACATATAGGTAATATAAAATACAATACAAAATATAAAATACAATACAAAATATAATGGCTTCGAATAACAATTATAAAATCAGTTAGAAAATGAAGACATAAAATGTTAGATTTCCATATTATTTAAATATGTCCTGAATTATGTCGACTCCTATACATGGCCCTTATGGAAGAATGCTGACATTGTAAAACTCTTTGTTCTGATATATTCATTTTTATCTTATTTTGCATTTTTTATTGTTAGACGTTTTTATTTTTCTTTTAGAGTAGTCAGTCAGTTGCTAGATTCCATATTGTTAAGTTGTAATTAAAAGTATAATTGTTGTATTAAGTAATAAAAGTATTTTTTTAAAAAACGAACTTTGAGTTAGTAGGAGTTAATTGGCGCAGTCAGTAGGATATCGGGATTGATTTGTATCGAACATATCGATTTTCGTTTCTACGATTTACCGTATATCGAACTTAAGTGACTTTCGTTTGTGACATTGTTCCGGAGTGGCTCCTTGAACTTCAGGAAACCCAGTCTATCGCAGACCCGACAAGAATAGTGGATCCAAAGCGGAAGAGAGAATTGAAACCCAAATAGTTCAATTCTGCAGAGATATTTTCTGGGAACGACAAAAATTGCTGACCTGGATTTATTTCTATAGAGGGATGCTCAAAGTTATATTTTTATTGTAAGTACATTTCACATGTCCGTAATTGACGATTTGTCAAATATTCTTTCTAATTTATATTTAGACCCTTCAACTGACTCGAATCTCGAAAATAATTTAGAAATAATAATGCCTGATTTTAAACCAGAATACTTAACTTGTGTACCCAACTTTGACGGTAACCCGAATGAATTAAATAGATATTTATCCGTATGCTCATCTTTGATTGATAATTTTTATAATATTGCTCAGCCAAATTGTTTTCAAAATGTTTATCTGTTAAATTGTTTAATTTCAAAATTAAGTGGCAATGCCAAATTAGTAGTAAATATACAAAATGTTTCAACTTGGAACGATTTAAAATCAGTATTAACTAGAAACTTTGCAGATCAGAGAGATGAATCTTGTTTAAATAGGGATCTTGTTATGATGAAACAAGGAGCTACTGAAAAACCACAACAATTTTATGATAGAGTTTTAAACATCCTAAATCTTTTGTGCAGTTATGTTGATGCTCACGAACACATCCTTGCATCTAAAGCATTAAAACGCGATTTATATAACGATTTAGCTTTAAATACCTTTTTAACTGGTTTAAGGGAACCTTTAGGGACAACAATTAGATGTATGAAACCTATTTCATTAAGTGAAGCTTTGCAATATGTTCTAAAAGAAGACAATGTTCATTATTACCAAAATTTCGGCAATAAAAATAATTTAAATAATGTACGAATTCAACAAAATAGACCATCTGTTTCACCACAAATTCAAAGACAAAATTTTAACCCTAATTTAGCATCTTTTAATTCAAATACGTCGAATAACTTTTTCAACAGACAAATTGCTTTTCCGTCGCAACCTGTCCCAATTCAATCCCAACAACCAAGGCAACCGCAAAGATTTTTCACTAACGCACAAGTTTTTGGAAAACCTCAGCAAAATCAAAATGTTTTTAAACCTAATAGAAACGTAAATTTACCAAATCCAACGCCCATGAGTGTTTCTACTAGAAATACAAGTAGTAACTATAAAACAACACCTATGAGTGTCTCAACGCGTAATTTTGCACCAAATTCATCCAGAAACTATTTTCAAAATAATTCTTATCCTCAAAATAAATTTAATTCGGAGGAATTATTCAATGCTGAAGTTGACGAACAAAATTATTTACCGTTTGAAGAAAACCAATTTCCCGGAAACAACTGTTCACAAGGTGATTTTTCCGAAAATAATTTTAAAGGTGTATCTGTCGAAAACGACGAAATAAATTTTCAATTAACGCCTCAAAATCAGCAAGAAAGGTAACGCCAAAACTTATATCCTTAAATTTAAATAGCTCAAGTGAATTATGTTATGTTGTATTTCCTGAACATAATCTAAAAATTTTAATCGATTCAGGCTCTACTAAATCTTTTATAGATCCTGAAATTGCTTATAAATATTTTTCCAAAACTATACAAAATGATCCATTTGTTGTTAAATCAGTTTTCCAAGAATCAACTCATAAATATAGTACTTTAATTCCCGCTTCAAATATTTTTAACTTACCAAATAATTTAAATTTAAAATTTTATCTTTTTAAATTCCATAACATATTTAATGGTTTAATTGGTTTAGACAACTTAAAATTATTAGAAGCAATAGTAGATTTTTCTAATGGATATTTAGTTACACCTTACGCTAGAATAGAATTAAAATATTACCGAATTAAAGGTGATCTTAATTTAATAACAGTAACGCCTCGCTCTGAACAAGTTATAAAAATAAAAACTAGTATTAAAAATGGTGAAATTGTTATACCGTATCAAAAATTTCCTAATTGTGAAATACCCCAATCTTTATCTATTGCAAAAAATGGTGAAGCCATTACAACAGTTCTTAATATTAGTACAAACCCGGTAACATTAGATCTATCAGAACCAATTATTGTTGAAAAATTCGATAAAGTTCCGATAGAGAAATTTGAACTTAATAACTTCGACGATACTTTTTCTACTAATTTAGATTTTAATAAAATTCGAACCGATCATTTAAATGACGAAGAAAAAAATAAAATATTAAAACTCTGTTCAGAATATTCTGATATTTTTTATAGGGAAGACACGCCACTGACCCTCACTAATAAAGTTAAACACGAAATTCGTACAACAGACGAAGTTCCAGTTTATGCTAAAACATATCGCTATCCGTATATATATAAACAAGAAGTTGAAAATCAAATTAATAAAATGTTAGACCATAAAATAATTCGCCCAAGCTCAAGCGCCTGGAACGCCCCACTTTGGGTAATTCCAAAAAAATCTGATGCATCTGGTAAAGCTAAATTTCGTATCGTTGTAGATTATAGACGTCTCAACGAAAAAACAATCGATGACAAGTACCCTTTGCCTAACATTACAGATTTGTTGGACAAATTGGGTAAGTGTCAATATTTTTCGACGCTAGACTTAGCGTCAGGGTTCCATCAATTGGAAATGACGGAAAAAGATATAGAAAAAACGGCATTTAGCACTGAAAATGGACACTGGGAGTATTTAAGGATGCCATTTGGCCTTAAAAATGCCCCAGCGACATTTCAAAGAGCAATGGACGGAATCCTCAGGGGCATACAAAACGAAAAGTGTCTTGTATACCTTGATGATATCATTGTTTTCTCAACATCGCTCCAAGAGCACCTTGAGAGGCTTAAAAGTGTGTTTGATCGTTTAAGAGAAGCCAACTTTAAAGTACAGTTGGATAAATCTGAGTTTTTACGGAAGGAAGTAGCTTATTTGGGTCATATAGTGACTCCAGCAGGTGTTAAACCTAACCCAGACAAGATAAAGGCGATAAAAAACTACCCCATACCAAAAACCACAAAACAAATAAAAGGTTTTTTGGGACTTTTAGGATATTACCGACGTTTCATTAACAATTTTTCTAAACTGACAAAACCCTTGACAAAATGTTTAAAAAAAGGTGCA